CCTGCCAGGGTCTCGGTCTGTCCGTCGCCGTCCTCATGTACGCCCACATGGTCGGCCGCCTCATGTCCGCCGGCCTGCCCAACCGCGAGCACCGCCCCGGTCTGTTCATGAACGTGGGCCCGCCCGCTTTCACCGCCCTCGCCCTCATCGGCATGGCCAACGGCCTCCCGAACAACCTCGACCCCGACCGCGACGGCATCCTCATCGATGTCGGCATCATCAGGACCATCGCCCTCATGAGCGCCATCTTCCTCTGGGCCCTCGCCGCCTGGTGGTTCGGCATCGCCATCATCGCGGTCGTCTCGTCCCCTCCTGTCTACTTCCACTTGGGATGGTGGGCCATGGTCTTCCCCAACACCGGCTTCACGCTCGCGACAATCACCATCGGCAACCAGCTGGGCAACGAAGCCGTTCTATGGTTCGCCACCGCCATGTCCCTCGTCCTCCTCGGCACCTACTTCTTCGTCCTCTACCACCACGTCAGAGCCGTCGTCATTCAAGACATCATGTACACGATGAGAGACGAGGACTACAACGACCACTAATTTCACACTGTATTCATCACATCTTTTTTCATCACTGGGAAAGGAGGAAACAGCGGTGGGTAGCGGTTTGTTTGGCTGGACAGCTCACCGAGCGTTCACCGAGGAGAAAAGAAAAAACACGAGGTTTGGAACGAAAAAAAGGTTACCAGGATAATCGCGGCACGGATCTACGGATGTGTGCCTGCGCAGTCGTGGGCCAGGGTGGCTCACTGTTCATGCTTCAAATGTTCATAGCGCCAGAACTGACTCTGGGTGGTTTTTGCAAATTATTTCCGTTCTGGCCAAAAACGAGCGAGAGGCGGCGTCATTTTTAATCATGTGTGTGTTTATCTTTGGGTTTTTGTAGGGGCATATTCCAGCGTGGAACGAACAACAATAGCGCGCGCGCTCATATCAAGCGTAGTCATTTTTTCAAAGAATGGATTCTCTTTTCCTTGAAAACCCCTTACGGTCTTTACTCCCGTTTGTTCGATGCTCATTTTTGTAACTTTTACGCACGAGGCTTTGGATCATCATCATTCATACCAATTTTGGGGCTTCTTTGATAGACTTTGGGCACACATAGACTGGGGCAGCGAGAGGTTTAGGGCTGGGCCAGATTGGACGGCTGAACAGGACACCTTTAGAGGACACACTTGACGAACAAGAATGCAAGTCATCCCCGCTAAAACAATTTGCTCTGACCCCTTTTTGTCCCCCTCCCAGTGTGTGTGTGTGTGTGTGTGTGTGTGTGTGTTTTGTGTTTTGTGAAATTGTAAGCCAGAATCAGACCACGAAGAAGGTGGTCTTTGGCACCCGCTTAGTAACTAACACCTCGCCATACATCACACCATCGCAGTACGCTTCCCCGACGAAACGATACGTGTTCTCCTGCCTCGTAGTCGTCCCATCTCCGGACGGTCTCAGGACGTACGGGATCCGAGAACCGAGCAGTATCACCACCACATCGCCCGGACGTGCGTCGGCCGGGCCCATGCCCACGTAACCCTGCCGCCGCGTCGTGAAGGGACGTTTGCCCGTCATCTTGTCCATGTTTTCGCCGTACATGGCCTGGCCAGGGCTTCGAGCGAAGAATTCCTCGAGGCGCTCCTGCCGGTCTTCTGGCGTGAGCGTCTCGTACTCGGTAAGGGTTGTCAAGACGCTTATGCAGTCTTCATAGTCGCTCTTGTCGGTCAAGTTGGCTATGTGGTAGGTTCTTGTTGGGGTCCAGTACAGGTCACCAATCGGCACTCGCCACGCTGCTTCACTTTGCCTTTCGGGGCTTTCGTATACGCCATGCTGCAGGCTCTTTGCGGCTGATTTCTCGCAAAAGGCCTTGATCGTCTGGAGATGCGCCGCGCGAGCCGCGTGACCTGCTTCCCACCCCCATACCTCACCCGTCTCTTCGATTATGTCGATTGCATAACCGCATATCCCGAGCATAGACGAGTCGTCCGTGTGCACGATCTCGACCGTGCTGTCTCCCGCCGCAGCCGTGAGGAACTTCTCCGCATCGTCGTAGATGGCCGTGAAGGAGCGAGTCAGTCCGGGTCGCCAATCCGGGACCCAGGACGGCAGGCCGTCAATGTCCTTTGGCATCTGCGAGAAGGAGAGGATCTCGACGCGACCTGCCTGGATGAGAGCGCGGGCTGTCTCGACGAACGTGGGATGGCAGTCTGGGCGTTTGTAGTCCGGGGTAATGCCAAGGCGATCTGCGTCCACGGCGATGCTTAGGAGACCATAGATCCTGTCTCTGGGAAGGGTCGCCTGGGCGTTGCCGTCGATGTATGTCTTTCTCAGGAGGTGGAAGAGATCATCTCCGGGCCCCGCGCCTTTGACGTAGTTGCGCTGCCTACGGCGGATGGCTAATAGGGGGCCAACACGGCGATCTTGAGCAGTGAGAAGGAGTTGGTGCTGTTGCCGAGGGAGCTCATTCTGCTCAGCAACTCTACCGAAGCAGTGGTCGAATATCATTCCAGCCAGAAAGAACAGGTCAACATCCACTACCTTTGAGCCGCACACAAACACTGTGTCGGGGCATAAGGCCTGCTCCTGAATGATCCATACTCGGCCAAACCAAAGCCTCTCATTCCAGGCTATGACGGCCTGAAGAAGCTTAGTGGCCATGGGCAGAGCTTTGGCAATCAGAGCCTGGAATCTCCTCGTCAGTTCATCCTCCGGGGTACGATTCTCCAGCAGAGGTCTCAGCAGGGGCAAGCGCTCTCTGTTGAAATAACTCTCAATATCCAACTCGCGCGCACCTCGCCCGATCTCCTCCCAACAATCCATGAGGGCGTCAGACTCGTCCTGCGCTGGCCCGAGCCACACGAGGACCTGCTGCGCTTTGCTGTAGACCTGCGTCATCAGCGGAACCTGTTCAGTCTTCTCCGCGGCATCGTCTTGGTTGATGCATATCTGATCGATCCAAAGCGTGACCTTCTCGTCTCTACTTCGAAGGTGTCGCAGAGCCGCATCGAGCGAGGCCGTGATGCCGAGGCGCGACCCTGAGATTTCGATGGTGTGCGTCTTGTCCGGGCGCCCCCAAGTGTACGAGAGTGCCTTGAATAGCCGCGGCGTGGCAACCGGGGTGCTGGAGATTTCGCACACGAGCGGGCTCGAGAAGTGGGCGTCGCTGTCGCCTTCGTCTGTTCGGGTTGCAGCAGCAGATGCAGGTTCAGGTCCTATTCCTGAGGAGGGATAGAGTTCGAGAAGTCTGATGTGTGTCGATGCCGACGGCAGGATCGCCCGGTCGTCGTTGTAGGTGAAAGGGACAGGGGCATGCGGCTCCGGAAAAGACGGCACGGAAGACATGGTTGCCGTGTGCGCTGGGACCAGACTGCGCGGCTATTCGAGACAAGGAACGCCCATGCACGATTGTTTGATAGCGTTTAGGTGGCAAGGTCGTTCTTTTAGAGTACTCAAGGAATCCTGCCCCGGTAATGGGCTGGGGCTGGGTATCCTGGGCCTCCAGATTGGGTGCGGAGATGGAGACTATGGATGGCGCTACTGCAGCTGTCATGCATCATCAAGCAACTCCTGCGGGCACGACTAGGTACGATATACATAGCCATGCCTTTGAATCCATCACATTAAATAATGCAAGAGATCCTTTCTTACGAACGGTTCACGGTTCTCGCCAAATGAAAGGTATCGTTTTGTGGTTTATGTGGGTTGAAGTCTTCAGATGAAGTTCGCATCACCCATAGACACTCATCAGACCCTTGCGAACTCATGAATAGGACAGATCGTGTCAGGATGTTGTCTCACTTGAAGAAAGCGGCCGTGATGAATACTCAATGGTATATGAAACAATGGGACTATGTGTTATCCATCTTGCCCAAGGCAGTCAAATGTTTGAATTCGAACTGGAAGTAAACGTTATGAAGATAATCTCACACTTTTCCAACGACACTTGAATGATAGTAAAAGGTCTGGACGTATGTCCCTAGTAGTAATACCTCATATCACGGAACCGGCTGCTTGAGTGTTTGAGTGTTTAATGTTAGAACAGAAGAGAGGCCCGGTTTTCCATACATCACAAGACTTAGTGAACGGAGTTCGAATTATTCACGAGAGCGGAGCAAGCCAGAGGCCCTGACGTAAAGCAAGAACATACTGGGACGCCTTCTCTGCAATAGATATGGTGTCAGTGACAAACAGTTCGGTGTGATAGTCTATCTAGCTTTGGAAAGTGTGGAGAACTATCAAAGTCGCTTTTGTGTTAGCTGGTAATTGCTGACGACAGACCATGATTCTCTTTATTGTGAGACATGGTAAGATCACCTCTCAGGTGGCTGTCACGGAACCTACCCATTGGTTCACCTCAGAAACTGTCTTACCTACGGGAGCTTCTCGTCTGCCGTTCGACATTCGACATGGCATCTCGCCAAAGAGTCGGTGAATTAAGTAAGATCTACGTGCAACGCCAGGAGTGACTCAAATAGCAGTCTGCAGGAAAAAACGATACCTGGACTCTGTGTCTACCCACCATGAGAGGATATTTATTCCACATGTCCACTTTTCAAGCCTCGATTGCTCTGCCCACTCGATGAAGGAGCTCGTTAGCACTGAAGACCTTACAATTAACGTTTGTGTTGCTCATGTTTTCGATGCCCGATAATCCCCATGTCTTGGAGGCAACGAAACCAAAATGTGCGAGACTTGAGAACTTCTAGATCGATGAAAAGGATTGGATGGTCGTACGTTATGTGAGACAGGCGGACCCAGACCCGTGTCAGGGTTCGCTTTAGGATGTGTGCTGCGGAGCTGAACCTCACGTTCCACGGAGCTGAATTTCGTGGCTGGCTCAAATGCATCCATGAGTATCCCATTATGAGACGTGGGGAACGGTCTCCGCAAACGCTCGACGGTGTACTATTCACTATATTAACCTATCGAAAAAGACTGAATTATGCCTACCTTCGACCAGAATTTCATTCGAAACTCGATCAATTCTTGCGTCAATTGCCTCTCATCATGAATGCCTCCAACAACCTGCACGTCAACCCTTCTTATGGGGGATCGAGCTTCCATTGCCGTGTGGGAAAACCAGCAGTGCCGCCGAAGCAGACCAAGTCATGGGGATTTCCAACTCCAGGCGTACAGTCTCCGACGGTGGCTATGGTCATGACTAAGGACTATTTCATTGAGTGGGTTGAGACCAGTTGGCCATTTAATGTCTACTAATGCCATTATAGCAACAGCAAGTTGGAGGAAATTCTTGACGACGGTGAACACGACTACATCGTTATCGGCTCAGGCTGCACCGCTCTTGCTTTCATCCAACAAGTACCTGGCAAGGAATCGGACGCTCGAATCCTTTGCCTGGAACGAGGAGGTTTGTGGTTGCATCCCGGATCATCGCAAATTTCGATGCTAAACTATGATAGAATTCTGCCTTCCTGCGCATTTCCAGAATCTCCCTCTCCCATTCAAGACTTTACTTGGTGGCCCGTCGGAGACCTTCCCATGGACATTGTCCAAGAAGACATTCAGTGAACCGCTGCTCCGCTACTGCCATGGATCTTGCCCTTTTTTTGGTGGACGATCACTCTTCTGGTCGGCTTGGTCTCCTTAACCACACCTGGAGAACATGCGAGACTTTACGAAGGGGATGATCGATACCGCTAGGCAACCCGAATTCTGGAAGAACGCGAAGGAGCTTTTTCACGTTACAGGGGCCGACGAGATCGGAGATTCCGTATATTCAGGGCTTCAATGAGAGATTGACCAGAGGCTTAAAGACCGTCGAAGACACATCAACACCGCCGAATATAGTGAGCCAGCTCAATTAGCAGTTGTTCGAGGCTCCGTTATATCGAGTCTCCGGTTCAACAAATTTTTAACCCAGGCGCCATTGCTGAAAATCTACGAGGAGCAAAAGTCCAAGAATGCGGCGTCTCTTGACATTCTCCTGAATTGCACTGTGAAGACGCTCGGCGCAGTTGACGAGGATGAAGATGGACAAGGGCATGTTCATTCAATCGAAACCACTCGGGGCACAATTACATGGCAAGGCGATAACACGAAAGTGATCCTCTGCGCAGGCGTGAGCATCTCCATATTTGACCCGCATTCTGAGCTGACACTTGTTTGAAGGCTTTCCCTGCCGCCGCGATTCTGCTCCACAGCTGCCCAGAGTGCCGCAAAACTGTCGGCAAGCGTGCTTTCTGACGCACATTGTCGCGCGAGCACCGCTCTCTGCGTTCAAGTGGCATCCTGTAGGCACAAAATCAGATAAGAATCAGAGGCTGGAGATTGGTGCGCACTACTTGGCTGGCAAGAATCCAAGTAGCGGCCAGCAATATCATGTCCAGATCACAGCTATCCAGAGTCCGGACCCGGAGAAGGATGCAGAGGACGCGGCTCGTGAATGCCCGGACTACGCCGCTGCCGCGACTTATGAGCAGCCGGAGCACTCAACAGAGCATGTCGTCTTTGTGTGTGCCACGCTCGGTGAATTTTCCGAGCGCAACCCGGAGAACTGGTTTAAGCTGGACCCTGGCAACCCGGATGTGACCACAAACATGAAGCTGCAATACACCCTCACCAAGTCCGACCGACAGCTTTGGGATACTATGGATGAAGCGACCTACCAAACAATTGAGCAGATGGCCGCCCCGGATGTGTCCGAACCGCCCTCTGAGGGTCTCGAGTACTGGCATATCGACGAACATGAGCCCGACAAAGGATCGTGGAAGCCGGCTGATCCGAAACAATCAGAGATCCGTATTCCAGGCATTGTCCATGAGACGAGCACCGCCTTCATGGGCTCAGACCCATCAGACGGCAGTTCCGTTGGACCAAAATATAACGTCCATGGTGTTCCGAACGTGTATGTCACTGGCGGTGCTCTCTTCCCGATCGCAGGAAGCTGGAACCCGACCTTGACGATGTGTGGGTTTGCTCAGGATCTGGCGAGGCAGCTGGAGAAGGGACGCCACTTAAATTGGCATCAAGGGTCTAAGATCGCTCAAAATTGCCTGTAGTCTTCATGAGAAACTCGTCTTGAATGAAATTGGAGGGTTTGAATCATGTTCTAAGCCACATGGTATGGAGGACGTGAGCTCATGATGAGGAGCCAGTCCCACATCGAGATGGCGAGACCCTGAATTCCCCGCGACGAATCCCTGCAACTTGGCTTGCATGCCGCGTGGATACCGCACCCGTAGGTAGCCACACCAAGATGGATATTCTGTGGGCCATGGCATTTTAGTGAGTCCAACCAGCAGCCTCAGTGACACATTGTCGGAACCAGCTCAGGTGAGGACACGAGGACGGTTGAGTTGATTGATGATGGGTGGGCGATGAGGGTGGTTTGTGACCGTGCATAAAAAGGAATAGGGGACAATTGTGCAGCATGCAATGATATGAAGGCAGTTTGCTTTATGAACAAAAGTCATCAGCAGCAGGGCATGTCACTGTAGGCTGCAAAACCCAGTGACAGCTCACAGCAGTGACAGACATCAGTGACAGTGACAGGCGGCGGAGCGACTCGTCCCTGAACAAAGCTGAAAATGCCATGTTTTGAAAGATGGAGCTTTGGCCCCACTGCGGACACAGCTCCGTGGTGTCTGATTCGGCAATCTGAGCTGCTAGCGCGAGCATGAAAAAAATTCAGACTGGCCCCGGTGGATTGGCCGATTAACGAGATTAGTCATCGGCCCAGGTTCACGCTTGCTTTTTCTCTTGTTTGTCACCACCAACCACCAGCAAAAATTCAGCAGTCCCCGGTCTGTTTTTTTTTTTTTTTTTTCCCTTCCTGGTTGCTGCTGTTGCTTCCTCGCCCATCGCCAGGTTCTTCCCTCACACCGCCCTGCGGATGTTCGTCACCATCTTCATCCTCTCCCGGGAATCTCGGACGGTATAGGAAACCACCCGCCATCTGGACAGGTCGACACGCAAGGTGCCAATGTCGTCGGAGCAGGATTACCAGGACCTCTTTGGTCCGCAGGCCAAAAAGGCGAAACGGGGACGGGTAAGTCATGTCATCACCATCTTTTCTGTTCCTTGTCGTTGGTTCCATCTCCAACTCGTCTTTGCCGTCCGATAACATCTAAACTTCGCCACGATTCAGCCGTCTCTCGCGCCATCAGCTGACGTTTCCTTCGAGGAACAGCTCCAGACCGACAAATCGGCCAATGCCATCCGGATCCGCGACAACCAGCGACGGTCACGCGCCCGGCATAAAGAGTTTGTCGACGAGCTGCAGCGAAAGGTCCAGGAATACGAGAAGCGGGGGATCGAGGCTTCGGTGCAGATGCAGAAGGCCGCCCGCGACGTGTCCATCGAGAATGCGCGCTTGAAATCTTTGCTGGCCAGCAGAGGTGTTTCGGGCGAACAGGTGGAGGCGTACTTGAGGTCCTTTGACGACGACAACAAAGGCTCACCAGCGGCACCACCCGGAGTTCCTCTCCCGACGGGCATCCAAGGCGAGCAGGCGGACGCTTTCATGAGGAATTTCGACGACGATACCAAAGCATCGCCTGCTGCACCCCTGCCAGCGACGCTGCCTCCCATCCTCAGCAACCCCGTTACCCTCGAACCATCGACGCAACTCCCGCCTTTGCAGGAGCATTTCAGCAAGGCGAGGTTCCCGCCCGAACCTGAGCCCGAGACGAACGGCACTAAGAGGAAATACGGCGAGGCTTTGATGCCACCGGTTCTTACCCTGACGCCTACCCCAGACGTGCAGCAAAGCTCCCCGCTCGACAAGCTGACCATGCTTGCCAACGCGAGCCTTAACAGGGTCACGCAGCTGGCCCCGAAGCAGAAATTCCAAGAGTCTGCAAGGAGCCCCCATTACTACGACAGGAGAAGCCAAACGCCTCCCCGTCCGTCAGAATCACATCATCCCCCGCAGGCATCTCCACATGAAATGTCATGCAACGCCGCAGCGCAAATTATCGCCGACATGCAGGGCTACGGCGACCAGCGCACCGCCCGCATAGCTCTGGGATGCCGCTCCCAGGAGGACGAGTGCTTCGTAAAGAACACAGCCGTCTTTCGCGCCCTCGACCACCGGTGACGCGATTTCGTACAATCGTGATCCGCTTTTTTCGATGCGGGATTGATCAAAAATATCGTGCCGATTTGACCGGGATCACTTCAGCTCTCTCCACTCCGCGGATGCCAGCTCCCTAATCCCGTCCAAAGCCGCCCGCGGCAATCACGACACCCCCGAGCAGCGCACGGCGCCGGGGCCAGGGATTCCCGTGATCGTGTCCACCGAATCGGCGATGACCACCCCCGCCCATACTCCGGAAGAATCCGGCTTTTGTCTCCGTCGGCGTTCGTTAGACGGCATCATGGACTTTGTGAAGCTCCAATGTTGCTCACCCACACAGCTCGAGAGAGGTCAGAAATGACCAAAGAGAATTGTGTCTCGCCACGTCGTTCACTGGAGATGGATGGATTTCATCGGCACCGTAATGGATCGCTGCTGTGCAATGCTTCGGTTAACACCGCTGGCGCGGCTATTCGCAACTGCTTAGCCGATCCATGGTCACGCCGTGCATCGAATGCAATGGGCTCATCGTGCTTTGCGCAATTGTACTATCAAAAAGAAAATAATGATGTAATGTAAATAGCTTCGCTGAGTTGGCCGCCGTGTCGGGGCCAGCGTCGTCAATCAAAAGCGTGTATACTTGTTCAGCCCTGCTCTCTGTCATTTGATGTCCGACTTTTCCGATCCCCTTGCTACTACTTTGCCTGTCCAATGAGGGCGACGGTCTGAAAACTGCGACCTTGCCAACAAGGCGAGCTTTGCCGCCCAGGCATACCGTTGGGCTTCCACAGCCTGGCTATGCCTACAGGCACTCGACCTTTGACATACAAATACTAGATTACCGCAGGACCTTGATCATCGCTCATTATGGAATCAAACCTCACGCAATCTAGACATGGTCGATTCTGCACAACCTCGACAAACTCTTCGCGCTCCTGCGCCCGCGCTTCAGCGGAGACAACATCACAGTCTGGACGAGCGTGACTGGGAGCAGACCTTGGACAACACTGGCCGTCGATGGGCTCTTGAGGCCATAGGCTACCGCGGCCGACGACACCAGAATGATGCTCACCTGCTCATGAAGCCTTTTCTAGCTCTTCCGCAGATTGTGAATCCAACCCCGGAGCTACCAACCTACGTCCGCGATCCGTATCGTGTGATTCGCGAAATAAGACATGGCAACCGATATGTGGACCGTTTGGGTCCGGGCTTGCTGCCTCCTCCCCCAAGGGCCGAGATGCCTTCTCGAGCAGAGATGGTTGGAACGGACGGACCAGGGGTTGATATGGGTGACTCAGGGAGTCAACAGCAAGCGAGCCGGATGAGACGAAGGAACGGAGGAGCCGTAGATGTGGCTGACGATTCGGCGGAAACAACAGCCACAAACAAAAGAGGCTTTACCAAGCGCATCAAAAAGATTGGCGTTGAAAGGAAACCAGATCCTGACGCGCTGATTTGGGACGAAATCAACGCGTCGCTCAAGTCCGTCTTTGATATCCTCGGCAAGGATCAATCCTGCCTGTTGCTCTGCTCTGGGAAGTCAGACTTTTGCAGAATATCACTGGTACCTCTAGGTAATGATAGAGGGTCGGTTGAGCGTTGGAACTCGATACGGGAGGCTGCATATGCCCTTCGCGCCAGATCGATTTGGCCGTCTTCGTGTGGGAAACCGCGTCTTGAGCTCGTAGAGGTAAGCTTCCTCGCCTTATTAGTGCTGGGCCAAAGCAGGATAGCCACTGATATTCTCCATAGATCCGACTGCTGGCGATCCATCCCTCCGACCCGGGAAATCTGTGTGGTCTTTGCAAAGTTGTGGACCTCGATACTAGGGTCAGGGAACTGAAAGACAAAGCGAGTCAATTTGGGTCGATAGCTTACAATCCAGGACATATTGACGACCAATACGCGGGATGCTGGTACGACGCAGACCAACGGCGGCCCAGGCACGGCGAATACTGCGACGGTTTCCGGACAGATGCATACGCTGACGGTTACGAATACATTGACTGCTTTGAATGCATGTATTGTGGCATGGAGGAGCAGCTGGAAAGACTGGAAGAGATATCCACGCTAGAAGCTGCTGCCCTGTGGTCCGCCGCTTTGAACAACCCGATTCTTGCAGCAGGGAACTCTCTTTTCCCTTTAGGATTGGTCAAAACACCCATGTTCGTTGCAGCCCTCTGTCTCCTCAATACTCTCACTCGAGCACATATCTCTCCCCCGTTTGATATAACCACTAATCGATGTATTCAAGAGAGTTTGAAGAAGATCTTCGTGGAGCTCGAAGGAGTGGACATGTTCGTGGACTAGCACACATGAAATTCACAGGCTTTCGCGTCGTATGGCCTGAAGAGGAGCCAGAGTTCATCTTCGCTGTGAGATGCTGTGGGGTCGTTTTGCTTCCCTGCCTGGGGATTCTTGGAGCTCGCATGGCTTATGGGGATTGGGGAATAGCATATACTGCTGGAGCATTTTTCGTAGCACTGATAGGGATAGCCCTGATCTGGCCTGGGCATCCGGGGGCTCCTGTCGCCACCAAGAGCAAGGCGGCATGATTGTCGTTGGCGGTCAATACATTTTACTTTCCTCTCATGTAGCGCTAAGAGCAGAGATTGGCATTCATGCCCTGGCAACCTTATTTATGGGCTCTAACAAAATTACAAAATTCAGAAATTGGAAAACCAACCGGATTGTCAGACTTGAAGCAATTTGCATTTGCGAAAGTCAAATAAATACCTCCATCTAGAAGAGCCCCATGTGTACGTTGACTTGTTAAGAGTTGAAGCTTGTACCTGAAATTTGGCCAGACTAGTCGCGACCTGAAGTTAGAAGAAAGCCACGTTCACTCTTACAGTTTGTCTGTGCCAGGCTGGATGTGAATTCGTTGGAAACTGGCGCAGCCTGGTCAGCAACCGACGCGCTTCGGGTCGCAGTGCTTGCGGCCAGACCAACCTGCATGTAGGCAGGCTGTAAGGCGTTCTATCCCTCAGTAGCCGAGATCCAGCGGCTAAAGGTATTACGGATACCTTTGATTATTGAAGTGAACCTTTGGGGATTCCCGGTCCTGAGTAGCTATACCCCCATTCCCATTTTGTGCCTATCTTTTTCTTCTCAGCGTCAAGCTACTATCGCTCTAAAACCTCATTTTCTTTTTACGTTTCCAGCCATGAGCTATTCTACCGTGGGTATGGCAAATCTACCGGCAGTTCATCTACAGAATCGCCGTTATGCATGGGAAAATCATGGTGATCTTCTGGTCGAGCCTCAAAGAGAAGTCTTCGAGGAAAAACAGAGTGGCCAAAGGGTCTTCGCCAGACTGGTGCCTGCGATGCTCGCCTGGGTGCCCGGTCTGTCCCTTCAGCCAAGTGCGAGCCTCGAGCTCCCAATATCCGAAAGGATTGGTTCAGAGACCCTCGCCAGAGAGTCTGGACATCATCGCGGCAGCTCTCAGCGTATTGAGCCGTCTGTTCTCCCAAACCGGGATGGAACAAAGGAATTTGCAGACGACATTCCCTCGTCACTTGAGGCCGACATCTCTCAGTTGGCTTCAACTGACGTTCAAGCTACGAATAAGGAAGAAAATCGAGAAAACCCCGGGCTTCGACAACGGCGAGCTCCTCATGACCCGCCAGGCAAACCTGCTGAGCCTACCCTCTGGGAGCTAAGGGCTGTCCGTGTGGAGAAAATCAAAGAGATTCTTGGCCCTCTGTTCGCATCGGCCCCCTTCATTCTACTATGTACTGGGAAGAAGGAGAGTTGCCAAATCGAACCGATACATGTTGGAGAGACGGATGATGCTGTCGATCACTGGAGGGCAATCCAGCAAGCCGTGAAACAACGTCAACCCCGATGGCGGCGTTACTTCGGCTTGCCCAAACTTCACTTCGCAGTTGTAAGTTTCAACTGACTCGAACATGATTTTTGACTAATTGTAAATGATGAACCAAGCTTCGGATAGACGGCCGTCATCCGTCTGCTCCGAAATCTCTTTGGGGGGAACTACAACCCGTGGACCCTCAGAATGTCGCTTCGAACTTGGAAGACAACCTTCAGGGCCGGGAATCCAACGATATTCCACCGAGAAACTACGATCGTGGATATCACAGGATGAATGTGTTGGATAAAAAACGCAAAAAGCTGTCTCAATTCAAGATGGCGGGCATATGGCCCAAGGTATTAAAACACCCTGAACTGGCCTTTGCAAACGACTGCTTAATAGAAGGTTCTATATATACTTCCAAGTATGTGAGCTCCTCTTCTAATAAAGCAGTATCTCAACCAATTTCTAATGGTGCTTTAGAGACATCATGCCTCGAACCTCTATGAGTCGTCGCATCGGGGAGCCGGATTACGAGTCCTTCTCCGATCTGCATAGTGTAAGAGAGATTCAGTTTGCGGGATATTGGATAAAAGAAGCACCGAGTCTCAGCAACAGACTCAGTTTATCATTGCCCGGGAACACCAAGACTGTCATCTTCTTCTGCCTGGTAGTCTGGCTCTGGGGACTCATGCATGGCGGGGACTGGGGCACAGCGTATACTGCTGGTGCCTTTTTCGTGGCCTTGGCCGGATATGCATCGAAGTCTCTGCACGAGGCGCATTGACGCTCCATCGCTGAGATACATTATCACGACGACTGGCGCCACGGCTCCCAAATAATCCCATCAGAATTGCCCGATAGATCGATAGAACAAATTCCAACACATTTGCAAGCCCCGGACTTCAAGACGTCCGTCAGTATTCACCAACTGGATTGGGTTTATCCCACCAGCATCTGTCAAACCTTTCAAGTACATCACATTGGTGAAGGGTTGATCTGGTAAACCTGAGTCACTTCTCAATCTAGCACATATCAACTTCTCGGGCGTCAATACAGTGAAACTCAAATACCAGCAAGAGGTTAAGTTGTCTTTCGAGCGTGACGGTGGCGCGCTGGCAAATATTTAGAGCGTATCTATACGCGGTATTTGATGCATATCGCGGACAGCTGGGAGCAGACGTCTTGATATTTATTTGAAGTCCACAAAATACGACTCGTATCATTGTACGTGTAGCTATTTAGATGCAGCAGCTTCAAATCTCTATTTATGTCAAAGAGCAAGGTAGCTAGCTACCTCCACGGCAGCCAAATGGTAGTGGGGTACAACATTGGATGAAATCCCAACTCCAAAATCAACAACCATTTCAGAAAAAATAAATCCGACCCAACTGATTTCCAGACTCTCGCGGAGACGGCTTCGAGTTCCGATTTCTATGGAGTTTCGTTAGCTTGGCAAAGAGGGGTAATCGATGCAAACATGCGTTTTCCCAACTTGTCCACAGCGACCAACAGATGAGGAAGTAGGCCCGAGGCGACAACGCCAATTGGCCTTGACAAAACAACCCTGGCCGATATACGACGAATCCCAACTGCAGATATGTTTTCAAAGTTACGAACAGTTCCACCAACGGCTCCGCCTACCCATGTTCCCCAAGGAGTGGAAAGGTGGTTGCCCCGGTGGCTCACGCTGCCAGGACCGATTATTCCCAACAGCTTAAAACGAGCCTTCACCCCAGCTCTGTTGGTTCACTTCCATGTTTCTCTTACTTTTCTGCCGAGTAATTTTCATGAAACGCGGTACGATCTCTGAATATAGAACGTCGACGCCCATCGAGAAGCGACCAAAACTAAGATGACTGGCTCCACTACCAACACGCCGGCCAGGCAGCTTGGAAACTTGGACGCAGCCACAGCAACTTCAACCGCCGCTGCAAGCTCGCCCAACACGGTCGCTCCAAGGGAGCTGCTGCCGCCTGCTGCCGCCCCAGGAGATCGCCCTGAAATTGCACCTGCTGAAGAAGCCCAGGTTAGTTGATCAGACATAAGTTTGCCTGTTTCAATGGCTGTAGCGCTGACCTGCGCTTGCTAGACTGACGATGACGGCAACTCTGTTTACGAGAGAATGTAAGCATAAATCGTCGGCGTGTGTGGAATGTTTAGCACTTACTAATCTCACTATCGATTGCAGTTCTTCCTACAGTGCATCGCTGATGTCCAGCGCAATCAACTACCCCGTTGAATACGGCCGTAGATACCATTCCTTCAGGGAAGGAGGTAAGTGCTCAGCCTCATCGGCATGCCAAGAAACCCCACTGATCTGACAGTCTATGTGCTTCCCAACGATAACGTAAGATTTCTCCTCACCTGTCAGGCTGTAGGTTTCGATGCTAAATCTAGCATCTGCAGCTAGAGATGGAAAGACTAAATGTTTCCCACAACATGGTAGTCAGAGCCATCGGAGATAGACTTTACCTGGCTCCGTTGGAGAAGGAAAAGATCCACAAGATTCTGGACGTAGGAACTGGCACTGGAATTTGTACGTGTTTGAAGTCAACGCTATATCGAAGACCTTTTGGCTGATCTTTCCCATGCAGGGGCCATTGAAATGGGAGACTTTTTCCCCAATGCGGAGGTCAGTTGATATGTCATTACTTCAATAGCCATGTACTTCGGCCACTGACTTGAAGCAGGTCTTCGGTAACGACTTAAGCCCCATCCAACCCGAATGGTAATGAAAAAGCATCGCCATAATACAGTAGACGTCACTAACGAGTAGCTTTCAAGGGTGCCTCCAAACGTCAAGTTCTTTGTTGAAGATGTTGAGAGTCCATGGATCGACGACGAGATGTATGATTTTATTTTCGTACGACACATGTTGGTCTCAATCGCAGACTGGCCGAAGCTCGTGAAGAACGTTTATGAGTAAGTTGGTGCCAGATACCCTCCTGTCAAGTCCGTCTCTGAAACATGTTGGCACTGTAGTCATCTCAACCCCGGTGGCTGGGCTGAATTCCAAGACATGGATATTCAGTATTACTCTGATGATGGCACGCTCACTGAGGAACACGAAACACGCAAGTGGAACAAGCAATTCGTGGCAGCCTGTGAAGGGATGGGTAGAACCGGCCGGCCAGGGCCACGGCTCAAGGACTGGGTTACGGATGCAGGGTTTCAGCGCATTGCCCACCAAAGGTTCAAACTCCCCATGGGTCCGTGGCCAGCCGATCCTCACTATCGGGATGTTGGGACTCTTAACTTGTACCAGCTCTTGCATGGCTTGGAAGGGTTCACTTTGAAGCTCTTCTGTGACTACCTAGGCCAAACCAAAGAAGAGGTCTGCGTCATGATGGCAAAGGTCCGCAAGGAGTTGCAGGATCCCTCACTTCATGGGATCTTTGACCAGTAAGTTGCACGTTCCCTGAGGTTATGATACCAGAAGTTACTAACTCGTTCAAGCCATGTAGTCTTCGCACAAAAGCCGGAGGCCAGCGACGAGGAGAAAGGCGATGCGTAGTTTGGCCAGGTTGGCAGTGCAATTGAATCGAATATAAAGAATGCGCTGCTTTCTGTGTTTTTCTTGTGATTTATCGCGAGCTTATCAGATCTATCTCTAAAAGAGCCCAAGATTCCATTTTATCTACACTGATCTTGTGGTATGTCACTGGCCCATTGGGCGTCACTTCCCTCCCAGGGACCATGTTGATGTTGGGTGATTTCCAACCACATCAAGATGAAGTGCAAATTTGATGACGTGTGCATGGAGCTATGTTCTGGTCATGAGGTTTCAGCATTTCACTTCCAGCTCTCTGCCATGAACCATGAGCAGGCGCACTCAATTGTGGAACATTGTCATTTATTGAGTAGAAGTCTTCAGATACGGACCATTGAATCCTCCAGAGATAGCTTGACTTTGTGCCAGATTTAAACTTATCTCTTTCTAACCTCATGGCAGTGATATTCGGTCATATTCTTTGATAATTTTAAAGAGGTCCCGTGCTCGTTACTACTAAATCAGTCAATCTTTGGACTTACTAGAGCGGAAATAGACTGAAGACTGAGCTTGAAATTTCACATCAAGGATTGAAGGGGTTTGCTTGAGAACCTGTGTCTATTAGGTGACGCAACGTTTCGCGAATTCCAACATAGTAGAGATATGCAACCTTGTAGCTACGATTTAAACTCATGATTTATCGAGTCACAGCGCGACTTCGCCCATGGCCATAGATGACACAAATATTATTATTTTTTGCCCCTTCTAGAAGAGCGAAATGGTGATCTTCTGGCCCTTGTTTGTGTTGATTGGATCAAACCCTGCAATCACCCCATCAGCTATGAATGTTGACCCTTCACCTATGCGAACTTTCAATGGATTGCCCAACAAAGAGATAATCTCGGCTTGAACCACGACCCCGTTTGACCAGGTCATGTCGACCTCGAAGCCACCACGAGCAATCCACCCTCTGAAACTACCGCTAGATAAGCCTTGACCCGCAGGGGGGATGGCCGGTCCGAGGTGGACGACGCCAGCATGGCTCTGTAGAAACATCTCGACGATGGCTGCCGTGAAGCCAGAATTGCCATCGATCTGAAAGTAGCTGCCGTTCCGGCTAAACAAGTTGTTGTGGACCCATCGGGACAGGAGTTCCATGGCGTATTTCAACGCATTCGTCGCATCGAAAAGACGTGCGTGAAGCAAGCTTGCCCAAGTCACCGCCCAGCTGTTTCCTCCTCCGCCGTTGTCCAACCGATGACGCAGCAGCTTGTACGCCATGTCTGCATATTCTGGTGTCGTGAGTGGCGTGACCCAGGTTCCCGGGTGGGCGCAGACAAGGGGTGAGAAGCGGCGATGACCTGGTTGATTCTCCCAGTACTCCCGGGAGTACTCGAGCAGTTGGCCGAACGAGCCCGCAACAGGAGGTTGGATCTTGTCTCGAAAGGATCTGGCGCGATCAGCTCCTTCATCAGAGCCAAGAGCTTCAGATATCTCAAGAAAGCCGGACATGATTTCCCACATGATTGCTCGATCGTTCATAGCCCCTGCATCAATCCCCGTAGTCTCTCCAGCCACGGTCATATTCTCTGGTATGTAGTAAGAGTTCTCAGGGGAGCAGCTGGGATTCGTGATCCGCCAGCCGTCTCGCTCCGTAGCCCAGCTATAGATGAAGTCCATTGCGCCCTTCAAGATCGGCAAGATGCGGTCACGCGCGTATGTCGTTTCTCCAGTAAATCTGAAGTATTCAATAGCTTCAAATGCGAGCCAGGCACCCCCAAGCGGGTAAGGTGCTGCGATTGTGATAGCATGGAACGGCGTGCAGTCGCCCGTGATGTCAGTGTTGTGATGACAGCACCACCCGTCGGCTCCATACATGCCTTTTGCGACTTCACTGCCAGTCACAGCTAGCCGATCGAGAAAGTCAACCACCGGCCCCGCAATCTCTGGCAAGTTCAGGGGCTGCGCAGGCCAGTAGTTCATCTCCAGGTTGACGTTGATGGTGAACTTGCTGTCCCAGGGCGGTCCAAAGTCCCTGTTCCAGATGCCTTGGAGGTTGGCCGGGAGAGATCCAGGGCGGGATGATTGGATCAGGAGGTATTTTCCAATATTGAATTGAAGCGCCATAAGTTCGGGGTCAGACGTAATGTTACTTCCTCGCTTCCAGTTCTCAAGGCGGGCAACTGTGTCTTTGGTGCCAATGTCTTGTGATGTGCCGAAGTCGATTGAGGTACGGTCGTAATACAGCTTGTAGTCCTCCATGGCTTCGTGTTGGATTGCTTTGTAGCCAGCCTCCTTGGATGTTTCCAGTCGGTTGTTGACTATAGTCTGCAATTGTTCCATCGTTAAATCTGGATGTCTGAAGGCCGTTTCGGCTGTGTAAATGATGAAAACTTCCGTTGCATTTCTGATGTGCAAGGCCGTCCCATTGCTGATGATGTCGCCAACTCCTGTCCAAAGAGATTAGTAGCCGCATAAAGCAGGCTCTTGATGTTATCAAAGCTCACCGTCGGGAAGCAATATCTGAGCTTGAGACGCAAAGCGGTAAGTGTCGTCTTCCTCCCCAGTCCCATGTAGTTTGAGGATTCTTGCGGCAGCATCCGCCGTGAATTCAGTAACGTTTCTATCTCTTGACAAAGAGACGTCGAGGCTAAGAGACCTGGAGCTGTTGCAATAAATCCTAAAAGCCAAAACATTATTTGGGGCATTTCCAAACGCCTCCCTGGTATACTCCACTCCGCCGAAGACGTAGCTCAGAGACGAGAGTCCGTTCGAAATGTCCAGTGAATGTCTGTAACCTGATGTCTCGTTCAGAGTATGATTGAAGTCAAGTCTTAGTTCCCCTGCCGGCTGGTATCGTCGCATGTCATCGTACTCGGGGGTGAAGTTGGCAACCCAATTCTGGTCAGCTTCTGTTAGGCGCCCATCAAGAATCTGCTCTCGAAGAGGCTCAAGTGCATCGAGTGCTGTTGTTGGTATTTTAACCATCGGTCCTCCACTCCAGATGGATTCTTCATTGAGACGGATGAGCTCCTTGTCGGTATAGCCATGAATCATGGCACCCAAGCGACCGTTGCCGATGGGAAGGGCCTCATAGAAGTCTCGAAGTGCTGGTTGGCTATACCATAGTGTGTGCGATGCTTCAGACGAGGCACTAGCCAGCCAGCTCAGAGCTAGCAGCAAGCAAGCAGCGACTGGCGAGATTGCATTCATGATGCCCCACCAAAATTGGAGTGAAGAAGGAAGTGATACAACTCAACATATCATGCCTCCAATTGAAGTATCCCCGATACTTGCGTAATTTATTCTCCACTGAGGATTGGCACCAAATCATCCTCGGGGTATCATTAGAGCAATCTCTGCATGAATATTTCGCCGCAGATGACCCCGCTGACCTGCCCGCTTCTTGGCATCGAGGCGGCGCATATCTCTTTCCTCTTTGAGGACGGAGTCCAGCTTCCTCGCAACCATTGTGGCATTTCCTCTTGGGCTCTGTGATTGAATCACAACACCATCGTGGCCGGTTAGCCAGTCCAACTTGGGTCGACCACACATGCGTCAAGGTCTGCGCCACACCTTACTGCACCCGCGCAAAGACGAACATGATTTGCACCACAGTCGGCCCTGAGTAGCAGTTTTCAACAACCTGCAGGGCTTTGCTTATACAGTCTTTCTAAAGCAGGTGCACCGGACCCCCGGGTACGTACACTGCGATACTGGATAGCGCCGACCGAGGTGGTTTACTGCTTTTTCTCCTTCTGCAAAACCTGAGTGGGACAAAATCTTCGTGGGCTTGGCTTTTCAAATGCCATAAGGATGATCTCAAACCTCATTGAAACTTTGTCTTACGGCTTACACGCCGCAAGAACTCCCTGTAGTCTCCAGATGAGCTGTTATTCCACTTTTAGGCCGATAGTAGCTGAACATGCGACCTGTTGTATGAAAAGCCTTTGGTCTCCGAGCGGACTGGAAGGATTTGCCCGTACAGCAAACCCCTTTTGAGAAGGCTTTGATACTGGTTATTGTGCCAAGCCACAGCCGTCCAACCCATAAGGGTTCAACCAGGCAAGGTGCCTCAACCAAGTGGGCTTCACCATTCGGAGATACCTCAATCGTCACCTGCTTAGTTGAACGTCGGCTCTTGGTTTTCGGTTAGCAACTCGCTGGCCTGCGAAAGCCAATCTCTTCCCGTTTTTTCTCTACTCTGCTTTTCAGTTCTCCCACCTACAAACATCAGACAGTACCGCCGCTGCCAACACTGACCTCTGATACTGAATGATACTATGCTCAGAATCAATACTCAATTACGACCTACTACAGAAATACCCGATTCAAGAAAGCAACATGGACCGAGCCGACAAAAACATGACGAAGACTGCTGGTGATCAAAAAGCCAAGATTCTACAACTTCCTGTAGAGTTGGTGCTGATGATCACAGGGGAACTGCCGCTGCACGCAAGGTTTCTTCTATCGAGAACATGCATCGCTTTAAGGGTTTTGACTGCCAGAGACTGCCACGAAGCAAAAGTCCGGCTTAAATTTCAAAAGCGTTATGACTTTTGGTTCGAGGTTGCGTGCAGCCTTCCCGACTACTGGCCATGCAAAGTTTGCTGCAGGCTCCATAGGATGGACACATCTGACTTGCCTCAGCATGGGTCAGTCCCTTCATGTCAAAAGGGCGAAGTCCGAGAGTTTGATTGCCTGTATAAGCTGCGACTGACTCACGTGCTGCTTGCCCTGAAGCTCTCTCGGCGAGGGGATGGAAACCAGGAGTACCTCAGGAAGATGATGGCTCCTTTCACGTTGAAGAAGGGTGCGCTGATGAATCGGTCCCTGCACCGCTACCAAGCCACGCCAAAGGTTGTCAACGGCCGGTTCCTCCTGAAGACGGAGTGGACGTTTCAGCGCCACAATTACGAGCGAGTCGTCCTCGACGTACTGGACGAATTCTGCGCGGGAAGTATCTGTGCTCATTTGTTTGTCAGCCCAGATTGGTCGTGGATGAAGCGGATTTGCCGCGGAAA